ACCTTAGAGAAACATTCATAATTACTCCTGGTCGAACTTGGTTCAACCAAGTAGTTCGTGAAGTTCCGTGGATATTGGAACACTTGGACCTAACACTTAGACTTGGCAAAAATGCATAAAAATACCACATATAGTCCTAGCACGCAAAACAAGGTCAAACCAGTCAAAGACACACACAAGGGTTCAAAAAAAAAATATAAGAAAGGCATGGGTCGGCCCGGGCTGCTCGCTGGGACGGTCGGGTCGTGGCTGGTGCTGCTGGGCACGCACGGGTGCTGTGATGAAAAGTGATCGTGTCCTTACTCTATACGGGTTGTGAATAAACGCGCACTAGGGCCTTTGTTTATCCACGATAGGTGTATCTAACAGATGCACTATCGACCTTCTCCTAGACACTGTGACTTCAAGACGCTCTAATGGCCTTCTCTCCGACACTGTATGTAAACACGCACTAACGGCCTTGTTTAAACACACGTTAAGAACATCAGTTCCCCCTCAAGATTGGCTCACCAATTCAATACTTCATTCAACATATAATAATGAAGAGGTACATGGGTATTTATAGATGCCAACTACCTCTAATGCTAATCTTACTAGGAAACTATTAAAACAATAAAATATTAAATCCTAAGGCAAGTAAATATCCTACTACCAAAAAATCCTAAATCTAGTAGATCTCCTAATTACTTGTCTTGCACTCCAAACAATTCTAGAAGCTCCAAGTCTTGCGCCCAAGTACTCGCACGCTGCCTCACTCACGCCGCCTCCGCGCGCGCCGACTTGCACGTTGCCTACTCCTTGGGCTGCTAGGTGTCGCGTGCCTTGCCTTGCACGCGCGCGCGCACTGCCCAGCTCGCCTAGTCCTTCGATGACTAGGTATCGCGCGCCTGCTGCGCCACTCCTATTCCTTGTAGGATCATGCCTCGAGCCCATATCCACTATTCCTATTTCTACTAGAAATATGCTCCCAGTTACGTTTCCTGATCTTCCGAGGATTACTCCCGTCACTGATCTCCCACGCGCGTTTCGGCACTCAACTGCTTTTTCTACTCCTGCGAGGATTAGTATTCGCGCCTTGCCTATTCCTACGAGGATTAGGCTTGACACCTCGTTCTTGCATTCTGCCTCGCGCGTGTCTTCTTGCGCCCCGCGCTTGTCGTCCAGTACTCCTATGCCTACGCGGTCTAGGCCATCGCCCGCGTCACCTCCACTCGCTTGCCTAGCGCACCACGCCTGCTTCCCATGCGACGCCCAGCGCATTCCGCCAGTGCCCATGCTCGGATCGCCTACCGCATACACCCGTGCACCCCACGCCGTCCGCGTGTCGCTCCTTCTCTCGCGTGCATCAAGTCCCGATGCGCGCTGCTGGCTCGTACCTGCCCACCCGCATGTACTCGCACCTCCGTTCATTGGCCAATAGCAATCCCCC